CTCTTGTTTCCTTTTGTGTGTTGTTGCTTGCATTTGTAGGCTTTCTCGACCCCAATCGAGCGCCGCACGGGGCCCCGTCGATTAGCCCCGTGACACCTGGGTGGCAAGTGAGCTGAAGGAGGGGTGCCTTGGCCACCAAATCAGGTCAAGCCACTCTGGGAAGTCCCATGATTCACATTCCGCCCAAATGAGAATGCCTAATTGCCGATGGCTTTGGCTAACAAAGAAAAATGGAGGTTTACCCATAACCTTCGTTTCACTGCGTAGAGCCTACCTGTAACCTTGACCAGGCCGCCATTCAGCCCATGGAACTGGGGAACAATACCTTACCACATGGCTGAAGGTACGAGGTTCATCCCAAAATTGAACCCCCTGTGCGCCACATGTTGCCAATGGGGCATACACATGGGTGTGAAACAACTCCTTTTCTCACTAATGCATATTTCACAATCATCGGATATACTCCTTTAACACTTCAGGAGGGTGAGGGAACATGGACCATCTGTCGGTTCATATATATACTATCGACAACATCAAAACCACACAACCAACTAGATGTTAGACATTGTATAGAAGTTTGAATGGTAATTTAAACTTCAAAAAATGAAGTATGCTGATGTAATCAACAAACATACATTCCACCCACATAAAGAAAAGTTCCCCCTCTCCAACCCACGTAACATGTAAACCAACAAAATGGGAGGAGGATTATAGCAACAACAAATCCTTAAGTCCAATCACACAGCTCTAAAACGCCATTTGTAACATACATGAGAGGAATACAAAGATAATCAACAAAATAACCAACTATCGAATTTTACAAACACCTTAGATGGCCACCTCCAGTGCTGATCTCAAACACTTGATCTGCATACGACAATCATCTACAGAATGTTGTAGGTCGCCAATGTTGTCCAAAATATCACCATTACTACCAGGAGATGTAACCTCATCCAAATATCCTATAGGAACTGCTCACTCAAAGAATTTGCATCTTCCAGGTCTAATGGAACAGTTCTCATATACCTCGCCTTCATCCAATGTGTTCTCCTACAAGTGCGCGAGTATCCATAAGTTGCAATAAATTTGATTATTCAAACTTCTGAAGACAAAGTTAACACTACTAAAAATTTACCTTAGATTTAAACAGACAACTGTAGAATAGCTTCTGCAGGTTTTGGGGTGTTGTAGATATATGAAGGATACACTTCCTCTTGCAGTAGCAATACTTCGTTTCACACCTCAAATTCACAGGGGAGGGATTGCCTCCACTCCATTGGCTGCTCATTTTATTGTGATGCTCGGTGGGAAGTACATATCAATATATATTATTTAGTTAAAAAAAACTAACATACAATAATAACTTAACTAAAATACATAGCTGACGTTTTCTCCTTTAACAGAATGCTTAATTTGATTGTAGTTATGATTGGGTTAATGATTAATAGAAATATGATGCCATAATACTCTTCCTAAGACATTTAAAAGTGAACTCTCGGATGTACCTGGGTTAGTTTACATACCAATTGTGGCACACCATTTCTACCTTTTGATGGCTTATGCAAATTTACTAATACAAAACCTAATGCCATGAACCACCCAATGCCATCATAATGGTGTCATAGTAATATACTTCTATTTTTACAACTTGTGATAGATTAAGAATAACAGATCAGATAATCAAACTATTTCAAACAAAAGGGAATTACTGGGTCACACCAAAGAATTGGGAGTAGACAAATGTTAGAAAGCAATGAAACCTATGCATTTCAGAAGAAAATATCCTTCGTTGGTACTCTTCCGCTTCACATGGTAGGGGTGGGGATATAGGTGACGCCAGAGAGTCAACTGACAACAGCCGTTGGCAAAACTCTAAAGTGCGAAAGGGAATCCCTCTATAGCTGGGGAGGAAGACAAACGTTTCAAAGAGCAACAAACACACTATTATAGATATTGGATTGGGTGAAACTGATTACTTGGGGAGAACTCTGCCAATGATGGACAAAGCCCACTTTGTCAAGCCATAATAACGAGAGCGTAAGCACGGAACCAAAGGGATTAAGTGATTAATGGGAACTTGCTTAATCAGGGATGAGGCACATAATAACGAATCAGAGGGGTTAAGAGATTGACGGGACCTTACTCAATTGAGGATGAAACAAAGAGAATAATGGAACCTAATGACCTGAAACCAGCGAGTACTAGAGAAGCTAAGGGAACCTTGCTCAAGCCAGGGTGAAACACATAGCCTAACGGAGCCTCCTACAATGAAATCATGGGGAATATGACCCACTATCTACGCCTTGCTAAGATAATAAATGCAGAGGAAGACGGTGAATGCGGTGGAAGAAGAAGAAGTAGGTGAATGCAGAGAAAGAAGAAAAAGAAAGTGGTTGGCAAACGATGAATGCAGTGGAAGGAGAAGACATTCCAACCACTGGACGGCTGGAGGAAGTAGGTGAATGCGGAGGGGTAAAGTTAGAATGTATATTTGACGTGTTCGAATTGGTGGAGCGAACAATTTATTAGGTGGAGCAAGAGATAAAATGGCATTCGTTTTCTGAGGTGGAGCAAAAACCCCTTGTGTTTTTATGACTAAACCCCCTTGGTTTTTTACAGTCATTAACTAGCATTAACGCTTCAGTCGAACTTCAGCCGGTGGTAGGTGTTGGCCTGATGAACAGCAAATAACGTGTCAAAATTTTAGTGGACTCGAATAAAACGAATAACGGACTAATTGCTCTTGACACGAGTTTGGAAAGACGTGTTTGAACTTTGAAGTCTTAACTTCATTCGGCATATCGCATTGACCACAGTGAAGTGGTCACAGTAGATCCGGACTCTCAGGAAATGCGCCACCACTGCCCGTCTTGACCGATTCAAAATGAAATGAGCAAATGACGAACCTCCATTCTGGATTTGAAGCCATGATATCGCTTGTTTGCTCTCTCGGACACAGTTAAACTGCCTACAGATGTTTCGGTCTTTGCCGTTGGAGGGTCCTTTTGGTTCGTTGGTCTCGCGCATTTAAACCGAACGTCCTGCAGTCGTTTCTCTCTTCACTCTTGTTTTTTTTTTTTTCTCTTTATTCCGTGAATGATCTGATAAAGGGATACACATATTGATCATATATTAAAGTAATGTTAAAATTTTCGCGTAATCTGTTGCAAAGGAGTCTGTGTTTGTCGTCGGCCGTGAGACATGGGTGGAAGCCGTTAGGGTTGCGGTGGGTGGAGACCGATACTTCTGTCCCTCCGTCACCGTCGAAGCAATTGCCGAAAGAAGATGATTCGAGCACCTGCAGCGGAGGCGGAGGAGAAAGAGTAAGAGTAGGAAGAGATGAGATATCGTTCGCGGAGGCAAAGAAGTTAATGAGACTGGTAAATGTGGAAGCGTTGAAGAGGAAGCTTGGGATGGAAAGAGAGGAGGTAATCTGCTATTCTGAGCTTGTCAACACTTGTCAAAGCATGGGCGTCACTAGAACCCCCGAAGAGGCTGCCGCTTTCGTCCGAGTTCTCGACGAGGCCGGCGTTATTCTCCTCTTCAGAGACAAGGTATATCTTCACCCAGACAAGGTATGAACTCTCCCTCTGCTCCTTCTCTGTTAATCAGGTCACTATTGTTATCATTTTTTTTTTCTTTTCTTTGGTATTATTAACTTTCCCCTAACCCTTTTTCCCCAAAGTGCTGGTTGCGGGATTTGATTCCGCTCAACGCTGGAACAAACTGACTAACACACCAACGAGCCAGCCCTCGGTTGGTTATTGTAATCAAATTTTAAGGGGGCTTGGATTTTTTTTTTTTTGATCAATAAGGGGGCTTGGATTGTACTCTCTGTATTTTTAGCAGATTTATGAATGCTATATGGTCGGAATGATCAAGAATCTCCACTAATTATTTCCTTGCTGCCTTCAACTACTTTAAACTTTGCTTTCCTCTTCGTCCTCCAATAATTATCATTAAGCATTAGCTAGGCAATGCTTTTGGTTTGTGCCTCTCTAAACAATATTATGTTTTTGGGAAAATAATTTCTGTTCAGTTTTCCAAGCTTTTGAGTAACCATATACACTTCCTTTTATATTTCAATTTGACGAAGCATCTTGTTCATATCATACCATGGTTTTCAAGGCACTAGGGCGAGGCCAGGGGACAGGGGGGCCCTTGTGGATGGATTTTTAAGTAAAAAATATGTATCCTAGGGTAGTTCTCTAGGTTCCATAACCTTATTTCCTTAATAATTATCCATAATTTTCATAAGAAAAGTATAAACTTCATGTTTAAGTATAGAAAATCAACATATTCCAACATATTCATGAGAAGAAAAAGGAGAAAGAAAAGAAAATTCAAAAAATATAGGGGCTGAACCCCAATTTCTGTTATAGGAAAAGAAGAAAAGAAAAGGTTGAAGAAGAAGTGGAAGAAGAAAATGTGTTGACTAGACAACATTTTAAGTTCTTCCTTACTTATTGGTTCAGGTTTTTAAGTCTTTGAACAATACAGCATTTAGCAATGTTTGTCTTGATTAAACCCTAACAAATAACAAAAATAATAAAAGAAATTCGTATATAAACACACAAAATTAATATTTTTGTTTAATAATGTCTATTTTATAATTTAACCACAAAAAATTAAGAAAATATTTTTTTATAACACACTGTACAAAACTTCTTGGTGGTTTGGTGAGGTGAGCCCCCAAGGACGCCTTGTCTAGGCACTTACTTGACAACTATGTTTCACACCATAGGAAAAATCTATAGAAAACTTGTAAACTTGTTACCTGAAACTTTGACCCTGATAATGTAAGATCTTTCAAGGAAAGTTGATTCTGCACGGTCTTTTTGAAACATTTTTCCACACAAACTCACAATCCTGCTTCTATCTTGCCCAGGCTTATTTGTTGGTTATGCCTTCAACCACCTGAAGTGTTCAGGGTTGAAGCCTGTAAGTGACTGTGGAAAAGATTCCAGACTAAAAAAATAGAAACAATTTTTATCTAAGGGTATCATTGATATATGATAAAACTTTTCTGGGGTAAAATAATCACCCTTATACCTTTTTGGCTGAAAAAAGTTCCATTACTCAGGAGAAAAACAACAACACAACCATAGATTTCAAAGGCTCCAAGGTGAGGCTAGGCAACTGGGGTGGGGGTGCCTTGTTGCCTAGGCAATGGATATTGTTTTTAAATAAAAAAATGAATCCTAGGGTAGTTCCCTAGGTTCTATAGCAACTAGAAATCATCATTCATTAATAACTATCTATAATTTTCATAAAAAAGTATAAAATTCATATTCAAATGTAGAAAATCAACATATTCATGAGAAGAAAAAGAAGAAAGAAAAGAAAATTCAGAAAACATAGGGGCTCAGCCCCTATTTTTGCATTAGGAAAAGAAGAAAAGAAAAGGTGGAACAAGAAGAAGTTAGCATATAAAACCACAAAATGAATATTTTAGTTTATAATGTCTATTTTACTATTATATTTTCAAAAAATTAAGAATATAAAAGTATTTCATAGCACCAGGTACAAATTTGCTTGACAATTAAGCGAGGTGAGTCTCCATGAGTGCCTTATCACCTAGGTGTTGCCACAACAACTCTGAACACAACAGGACAAGCATCAACAAGAACAACAACTAGCAACATCTATACATAACACTAAATTATCAGCTAGGAGACAACAAAGACAATAGTCACAATACAAGATAACCACAACAAAATCAAGACACTGCTGACTCCACACGCCTGCAATCCTTAGCTAACATTAGCAATCTAACTAGGCATATCACCTTCTAATCTGGCAGATGCAGAGAAGCCTTTCTGGACAGCAACATGAGCTGCTCAATTTGCCGATATTCTGGTATGAGAAAAAGCTATGTCCAGGTCCAACATAACCCCAAAATATTTAGGATCAAGAGGTGAACTTCTGAACAACTGTCTACCCTTTTGGATAACCAGTCTACAAGAGATTTATAATCACTTTCCATCACTACCTGATGTTGATTTAATCTTTTGACTAATTTAACACCTTCAAAAGCAGCAAGAGTTTCTGGTTGTTTAGGAGGCATAGCCAAACGAAAGCTATATTGGATTGCCGAGCACTTTCCTTCAATACCACGGGCATCATTATCATCATCATCATCATCATCATCATCATCATCTTCAGATTATCCAAAGTTTTCCTGCATACCCTATCAATCACAAGTTCACAACCAAAGGGTTTGGAACTTATCCATTAAAACAGCATCATTTTGAGCCAACCAAATATTCCATAATAGTAAAGCAGTAGAAATAAGTAAATCAGATTTTATTTCCCTCTGAGAGCAGCTAAGTCTTGACCCATTTACTGAACGAGGATGTAAAACAATCCACCTGACCAATACTATCAAAGTTTAGGCCTAAAACACTACCAAACCATGAGGTTTCATATGCCCACAACCACACAAAGCATGGAAGACATATTCATATTCCATAAAACATATATGACACTTTGAATCTGGGCAGTATTCATTTCAGACATATTTGCTTTCACTGCAATAGCATTTAGACAGCATTTCCAAATATATATTCTGGTTTTTGGAATCACAAGCAAGGACCAAACAATACCCTATAGCCTCTTATCCTCAGCAGCGATCAAGGTTCAAAATATCAATATTCACAATATTAAGCTCGGCAATGATCAAGGTTCAAAATGTCAATACTCACAATATGTAGGATTATAGAGATCAAAATTGTGTATCATGAACTTTCAACAAGTGATTTTTTTTTTTTAACCTATTAAGTTTGATTTTCACAGATAGGTATGCTAAGATGGGCATTAACACTTGAAATTATTAAAATGCTCTAACTCTCAGTAATTATTATTTTTCTGGCCCTCAATATTGATATGATATGATATGATAGTATTGATACCTTGAACCTTGGGCAGTGGTGGTCTGGGTATCTGAACTTGCATGGTTCATATTCTTTGCTACAAAGTATGCTGACTTAGCTGAATAAGATCTGTTTGGGTCAGGACTCCAAGTTAGCTTGTCATCCCAAAGTCAGGTAACTTAATTTCTAGGATCTTCTCCACTACAGATAGGGTGAAATGACTCAAATGAGCTTTGCTCAGCTAAATATTACATCTCTCTCCATTTGCAAATAAATCACACTTCTGATAAATTTAGATAAGCTGGATTTGGACTATACATCCTAAAACCTTCGAGACCAGGAACCCATGAATCTTGCCAAATAGGTACCTGCTTACCCAAATCAATACTCCAACAGACTCCTTTTAGCACTTCCCTCCATGATACTCTTCCAACGCCATGAGCCCTATCTTGGAAGAGTGGAATTAATGTAGGATCTACTCTGAATATATTTCTCTTATTAAACTAGCCCACAAATTGTTCTCATGTAATGGTAGCCTCCTAGCCAGTTTGGCGAGGATAGCCTTATTGAAGCATGATGGGTCTTTGAAACCCAAGCCACCATCCAACTTGTTTCTATTAATCTAATTCCAATTGACTCAGTTAACCTTCCTAGACTGGCCATTATTCCCCCACCAAAAGTTCCTCTGAGCTTTTTTCAGTCTCACAAATCTTGCTTTGGATTAAGAAATGCATACAGTAGGAAGGAAGGACATCAATAAGTGCCTTTAAAAGGGTTTCCTTTCAAAAAATTGCCCTTCTAGCTACTCAATTTCTTCTCCACTCTATCAATCAAGAATTCAAATATTCTACTTTTTGACCTTTAAAAACGAGAGGGGAGACCAAGGTAAATAGATGGCTTATCCACTCTTTTCAAATGTAGACACTTAGAAACAATCTTTTGGAGTTATAAAATGCATATTTGAGCTAAATTCTACTTATTATTTACTTAGATTCACTTATTGATGAAAAACCTCATATTTCTTAATTGTCTACATGATTCTTTGTCCTTCTCCAGCTTTACCTTCACAAAGGTATAGCTATCATTTGCAAAAACAAGTGAGAGATGCTAGGACAAGCACAATTTATCTTAACACCAGTCATCTGCTTATTTACCATGCTTGCATTTAGCATTGAGGAGAAGACATTTGAACATAGCAGAAAAAGATATGGTCATGTGGATTTGTAGAAGACCTTTACTTGGAAAGACTTGTTTTCACTAAACCTTTAGTAGGATTTGGTAAGATGTAGATGTGACACATTTAATGACCCACCATATCCATTTTTTACTGAAAGCTTTTTTTTTTGTCCATCACACCCTTTACAAAAGCCCACTCAATTTTGTCATGAGATCTAGTCATGTTTAATTTAATGGCCATGGTACCTTTCTTAACGTTTGTATGTTTCATGCAGTGGAATATTCCATGAGCCGTAAGGATATTATCTCCTATGCATTTTCCTTCTAAGAAAACACTCTGGTTTAGAGAGATGATAGCCCAAGTTAGATTTTAGACTATTTGCTAATTTCTTTTTTTTTGCAATTATTTTGTAAAATGTATTGCACAGGCTGACAGCTCTGAACTAGCTTGCTTCTTCAGGGTGTTTGACCTTAGGAACTTTCAAGGTGCCAAGATGAAGCTAGGTAATACGTAATAGGGGGCAGCA